TTAACCAATTTTGTTGAATTACTAACAAATACTGCGAGATTCACCTTGTAACATTTTGCAAATATATTGTATCGGTCTTTTGTGATATATTCATAAAAGTAGTTACAAATCAATAAGGTTATGTTACTAGACAAAACACAAACATACTAAAATGTCCAAATTATAGTTTTACTACGTACATAGTTACCAAATAATATTGACTATTAATTAAATTAAAATGTGTTAGTTGGATACAAAAGACCTGATACATATCCTCCAGTCCTCCTCCCTCTCCGAGTGTTATTATTTTTTGACCAATGGGATATTTTATTTGATATAAAAAATAATTACTCTAACAAAATTTCTCTCTGTTTTTAACTTAGGAATCCAATTACACAATGTCAAAAGTATAAATACCGTTCCATTAATCATAAGTGATATATAACATTAATTTATGAAATGAACTCATGTGTTTTCATTTTGTAATAAGCAAAAACCGTTTTGGTCATATTGTAATAAGCATGTATTGTGCAATAGTAAAACACTAGTATAATGCATGTGCAAACTACACGGTCTTAATAGATCAAAAATCAAATCTTTCACAATCAACTAAGATTAGCTTAATGCTTAATAGTTAAATTATTTATGTTAATTGATTATTCATTAAAATAAAGTGTACTCATGTTAATTATCACAGTATTCTACATTCCTCATATCATCTTTAAGGTCTTTGGTAAATTTTGAAAAGTATAAAGTATTAATATACTCCAATTAAAAAGTGAATTATATTGATTAACTGTTATTTTATTCAATGCTTATTATTGATGTGAAACTGGATTGATATTTACTTGATTCACTCTACTTAAGTTACTAAATAAATTGCTCGAGTTAATAAATATATCACTACGTAAGTTACTAATTAATTTACTGCGTGTGTTACTAAATGTACTTCTTGTGTTACTTCAACCCTAAACCCTAAACCCTATAACGAAAATGAAGCAACTTCAAAGTTTTTTCTTCATCTTCCATGGTCGCCTTTCGCTAGTTTTCTGTTAAGCTGTTCATAGAATTACATAAATGAAAAGTTATTTTTTTTAAAAAAAATAAAATAAAAAAATAAATATTAAATTAATAGCTTTGGAATGACAAAATATTTGAATTTTAAACATTAGGTCAAATCAGAATTTTTTAATTTAAATTTGAATGAAAATTCAAAACTAGTAGAAATTGGGCCCAAATTAACAACCAATGAAAAGATGTCATGCAATATTGTATGTGGGTCTCACATACAATAGTTGTATGTGTAGCCTTTTCGGAAAAACATAGATACCTCAAATTGTCTTGAATTTAATTTACAAGTGACTAGCTATAATTTACAATATGCTCCATCTTTATTTTAATAATTGAAAGAAATGGGGTTGATGGAAGAATAAAGTATGGAGTATTATAATTGGGAGGAGAGAAACAAAATACATTAAAGTATGATAATTGGGGTTCACTAGGAAAAAAGAACTTAATACAATATTAGGAAAGCTTTATAAAAACACCAATTTATATATGTGGCTGACTACACGGTGTAGCCAACTATAATAAGGGTTACTTCAATTAGTGTTATAAGGGTTACTCGATCAGTGTTACAAGGGTTACCTCGTCAATGTTTCATAAGTTACTTTATCAGCGTTGTACGGGTTACTTGATCAGTATTACATGGGTTACTTAGACAATAATGTTATAGGGGTTACTTTGTTATTGTACATTCGGCCACACCGTATGACCATCCACACACAAGACAAACTATTTTATAAATGAAAATTGAGCAAGTAATAAAATACTAACTAAGTTCATTAAAGGGACTAAATTTTTTTTAATCCAGTAAGTTAAATATGGGTTACCTTACCAAATTATTAACTAGAGGTATCAAAAGGCGGGGAAAAAAATCAAGGAGGTTCTAATGACAAAATAAAAAAGATAGATCCCAATCTTATACATTTAACTCTAAATAATCACATAAAACAGCTGATAAACAAAAACAGACATAACAGTCCTCGATCGACAGAGTAATGCTAAGATCAAAAACAGCATATGAGTTTCAAACGTATGGAGTAGGAAGCATTATCTCAAGCCCTTGAATTGTCTTGGCAGATGATGCATTGATGCATATGACTGATATGAGCATACGACATACGTACTACTGCAGAATTGATGCAAACTTAATTGCAAAACTTTCTAGAGCTTCACATTTTTAACATCATATTATCCAGTGATCGTCTATCATTGTTCCTTTATCATATTATCCAGAGGACATGGTGTTGCAATGCAACCACTGCCATTTTATTAATTTGGGATCCCCTACAAACCAAATGACAAGATGACAAGTATCCCTAATAAGGAGTAGGTTTGAATCAATGCTACTGGTACTACATAACATGTTATAAATAGGCAAAATAGCACTTTTGAAGTAAATGTACGTAGGTTTTTTTTTTTTTTTTTTTTTTTTGTACTTTTACCACAAAAAACCATAAGAAATTATTTTTTTACCATTAATACTTCTAAAATCTTTATTTTACCACAAATAATAAAATAAAATTGCTTTTTATCACATGTTGTAAATAGGTGTGGATCTAGGGGGTTTAAGGGTGTTCATTAAATCCACAGATTTTTTGAAAAAAAATTACAAATTTTAATTTTTTTTTTAAAAAAAAATAAAAATTAAGGGTTCAAAGAAATTTTTAAGAGGTAAACAATCAAATGTGTAAGTGTGGTACATTGGTAAGGGAGAGATTGTTAGCCTAAAAAGGCTCCGGTCCTACGTTCGATTCTACTTACCATCATTTTTTTTTCCGCGTTCTTCGTGAGCTTGTGAGTCCTCTTGTTCCTCTACTCCTCTTAATTCTTAAATCTGTATTTGTCTGTTTAATTTTATAACAAATTAGTGATAATTAGATTAATTACTAATTTGTTTAATTGGTTTTGATATATTGTTGAATACATGAATTGTTGACAAATTAAATTGTAGAAACTTAGAATTTTAAACCTTTACTTGGTCTTTTAATTTAATTGATAACTAGTTTATGGGCCCGGGCGTTGCCCCGAATTTTTGCATGGAACTGATTATTAATATATGTTATTTTTGATTCAATATTCTTTGTAATTAAATTTGTTATTCATACTGTCAATTGTTACATATTAATATTTTGTATTCAAAAAATTACATAAAAAATCACATAGCCTGGTGTTTAGACACTTAATTGTAGAATTAGAGGTTGTGAGGTCAAATCTTATGGTGATTTTTTTTTTAATAATCATAAGTGAATGACATATAATGAAGACAAATGAAAGGGAGAGCCACATGGCATTATGAGTAGTTGCATGGATGACGTGGCGTAGTAAAGAGAGCTTATGTGACACGTGTGACACGTGGACCTTGTTAGATTCGTCTTTTAATAGATTAGAATAGATAAGTACGAAATAATAGACGAAATAAAATTATACTTGTAGTAGTTGACTTTGTTTTACTTGGTAACTTAAATTGTCTGACCTTATATTCATACAAGTTAAAATAATTTAAATGAAATCAATTAACATGCTATTACTTTTTAGGCCCAATTATTAGTTTCACCTTAAAAGTTAAAACAACAATGTTTCATACAACAAAGTTGAAGACGATTTAATCTGTAACTTCTATGTAATACAAAGTAGCATGTTATGACTTATGATCCATAACATGTATACATTTATTTTTGAACTAGTTAAAGTCTCATGCAACACATGGTTTAATTAACCTAATTATTACTTACAATGTTAAATAACAATAATTTACAACAGAAAATAAACAAATTTTACAAAAACAAAAAAAAAAACAAAACGAAAAAAAAAACAAAACAAAACAAAAACAAAACAAAACAAAACTATGTTTTCAATTGAAACAAAATAACTTGAACCTAGCTGGAGAAAAAAAAACACTTTCAAAGAAAAAATACAAAGTTGAATGATGATATATTCTATATCGAAATGAATTAGAATGTCATAATAATATAATATCGATTAATACATTATTTGAATTTTATAAAAAAATATCTATGAAAGGTATGATTTTTATTTTAAAGTTTTGTTCAACGCATATAGAACATATTCTGTTTTGCTTTTAATTAGTATATAGTTACTAGATGAAGCCCGTGCGATGCACGATTGGTTTTAATTTTTTAAAATATTTTTTTTTTTGTATTTATGTGCTAAAATTTGTTACATATTTAGATAAAATTCTTAATATCAAAATATAATACTTTATATTTAATTAATTTAAACTTAAAAAATATCATTTGCCAATTTTGCTTGTGTGACATTTGAATTATTTAATTCTAAAATAAATTAATATATAAGCTCGTATTTAATTGGCTACCACTAAAATTTATTATCCTACATGGCGCGCTGAAAAAAATTGATTCCTACATGGCTCTCTAAAAATTCGGGAGAAAACTCCCCTAAAATATATTAGATTAGTAGAAATTTACATTGTCAAATTTGTGTTTATTGTAGACTTGAGATTTTTGTTTTATGTGTAAAATAAACGGTTGTGATTTAGAGTCAGTTCACATTTACTGAACTGAGCTAAATTGAATTGAATTGATTGGAGCTGAACTGAACTAAACTGAACTGAACTGAACTGAATTGAATATTTTATGAGAGGGAAATTAGGAGCTAAACTGAATGGAACTGATTGGAACTGAACTGAACAGAACTGAACTGATCAGAGCTAAACTAAACTGATCTGAAATTAAGTAAATGTGAACAAGCCCTTAATCTAATAGAAAGACCACAACTTTATTATAGCTTTCAAAAGTCATCCTATGTAGAAACATTAATATAAACCTAGTGAAGTAAGGATACTAGTCAAAAGTAAGACAGAGATATTATTTTGTCGCAGAAGTAATAAAAAGACAATGGTTGCAACTCTATGTCCTTTGGATATATGATAAAGGAACAATGATAGACCACTGGATTAAATGATGTTGAAAATTTGAAAGCTCTAGAAAGTTTTTAATTAAGTTTGCATCAGATTTGCAGTAGTACGTGAGTACGTCATATACTCTTATGCATCATCTGCCAAGACAATTCAAAGGCTTGAGACAATGCTTCATACTCCCTACGTTTGTCCTACAATTTTTTTTTTTCTTTCCATTCTTTTCTATATATATCATACTACTCTTTTCCATTCTTTCCGTTCATATACTCTTCTCATATCTGATCTCATCATCTTTTTCTTTTGTTCGTCTGCTTTTCTTTTTTCTGTGTGTTTTGTTTCTTCTTTTGAGTTGCTGCCTCTTTTTCACCAAAAAAAAAAATCATTACTTTTATCTCGTAAAGGCGTAAAGCTAGAATAAAAAGAGATAAGTTATAGAATTGACTCATTAAGCCATGAGTAAATCTAAGGTAATTTTTTTTTTATTTGATTTTGTTTAAGTAAAAATACTATGAATTATATCTGTTTTACGTGCATATATAAATAGTTTTATTCTTACAATAATTATCCTACAATTTTATTTTTATTTTTTTAATAGGGGAAAATGACGTTTACTGCTGAATATTCCGGAAATGTAGTTATGGACAACAATACTTCATATCCGGGATTTCACATGGTTGAACACGAGCAGTTAGGGCCAACTAGATATTTGAGAAAATTCACAAAAATGCTCAATCTGGATTTGCGGATTGTTTTCCACCGGCTGTATCTGGGACAAGATATGTTTTAGCTCATCGTATTTCTGGAACGACCTTAGCCAGTTGGATAATTAATAATTACTCTAGCTTGGTGTATCTTGATAATAATGGAATCCCAATTCAAATGACCGATATGTTAAAATTAATTATCCAGTAAGTATTATTTTTTGTAAACTCACTTTTTCAAATGGTTTCCTTCTTTTTATTTATTATTATTATTATTATTATTATTATTATTATTATTATTATTATTATTATCTCAAAAACAAAAGTCATACAACCTACAATAAATTAGTGGGAAGCCGAGATACAATCTGGGCCCCCACTCCTCTAGCTATTGCAAATCCTACCTGTTTCGGGGTTTTCTGATGTCCTGCGGGAGAGTTACAATTCCGAGACTGGAACCGGACGCCTGTACCTGCAAAATAACGGAGACTCCTGAGAGCTCCGCCTCCAACGGTCAAGTTAGTACCTGATTAAGGAGTAATTAATACAGAAATTAAAGTAATAAGGTCTCTCTAGGTGAGAGTATTTAATGTAGGTAATCTGCTTTGCTAGCGAGATCAGCCGGTTATTAGTGTGTTCCGTAATGTATTCGGTCCCTGATTAATGAGGATTAATCGAGTATTTATAGCCTTGGGAAGCGTGCAACTCTCTAGGTTTAAGGTAAACCTAGGGCCGAACGGGCTTCTAGACTGAAATGGGCCTTGATGGCCGGTTGTCCCATTTGGCATGGGTGGACACGTGGCGTGTCTTAAGTGGTCCGTGGAGGACGCGTGGCGGAACCTGGTTGGTCCACTTGTCAAACGGTGCTTGGTGGATAAAAATCCCCTAATCATTTGCCCCTCACAGGTGGCACGCGACTGGTCACGTGTCGCCTGTGACAGGCGTCGCACGGTGACAGGCGACGGCCCGTTACAGGTGTCACCTTGCAGACGGCAGGGAGATTCTCCCGCCCAAATTTGAATTCGGAAGCGACCCTTCGCCTTCTCATTTTGCCTATAAAAGGAAGTGCTGACTTCGGTCATTTTCACATTTGAGAATTTTTGCGAGAACATTCGGACCCCTGAACTTGCTCTGACATTTTCGGACTTTTTCTGCCTACCGCCTGTTCTGTCAAGCCGACTGACCCGAACTTTCAGGACTTCATCAACTGTCATCCGTTCAGGTAACTCAATTCTCTTACTCTTAATTTTCTTTTTATTTTTTGAAATGGCACCATGGAAGCACACGACACGCCCTAAGTTAGTGATCAGCCGGTCACCGGGGACGGCTGAATCTAGGACTAGGAGTGCCGCCTGCCCTTTTCTGGACCCATCTTTGCCCTTTATACAAAGTCCGACTGAATCTGTGTCTATGCAGAACGTGATGGCCAGAACAAAAAAGACTGCTAGAATATCAAACTCAGACGGCTCCTCCCAAAGGGTACTCCTTAGCGAAACATCTGACCAGGCGCCAGATGTGGAACGAGGCGACTGTCAAGCTGACAGTTCTGAGAGAGGGACCAAGGTGTTCCCTTCTCATCTAACCGTGGACATGTCCAATTTACCTTCTGCTCCTTCTAAGGGAGAGGAGGCGGGCCCCTCTAGGAGAGGGGAGGAGTCGTCCTCTTCGGACTCGTCAGGGGACGAGTCCGATTCCAGCTCTTCTGACCATAGTTCTTCTGACTCAGAAGAAAAACATAACCGCCTACAAGAGGCGAGAAGTTCCCATGCAGTGGAGAAGGGGGATAATTGGGCAGAGCCGTCCGCCTCTTACAGAGAGGAAAACACCCCCTACTACTGCAGGGTGCCCCGGGGCCGGATCGCAACCATGCGAGACAACGTGGCTAGCTTTATTGCTAACCACAAAATGGGCCCGGAGTATTTACTGTTTGTGCCGGATCCAGAAGATACTGTCGTCTGGCCGGCTGGTACCAGCTATGGTGACGGCTGTTTTGGCTGCTATGTGGCGGCCATCAAAGCTGGTCTGCGCTTCCCATTACATCCGGCTGTTCAGCGGATTTTAGATGGGTATGATCTGGGGTTATGGCAGTTAGCCCCCAACTCTTGGGTAAACGTACTCGGCTATGTGGCCGGGTGCGAACTGAACGGGGTGGAGCCAAGTTTTGAGGCTTTCGCCCACATGAACTATCTCAGCCGGACCCCTAAGTCGGGAGGTACCGGCTGGTATCAACTAACAAGCCACAGGGGTTACCTCATGACGAGAGGTAAGGCAAACAAATGGAAGGATTGGCGGAACACCTTCCTTATTATCGAGAGTTCAGACACGGAGCTGAACAAACGTTTTAACAAGTGGAACAGAGATCCGCCTCTTCTTGCAGGCGGCCGCAGCATGCCGCCTGTTCCCCCAAAGGCTAAAAGAGAGATCCTAGACAAAGGACTCTTCAAAGTAGAGACTAGGGTGAACTCTACTTCAGGGGTACGAGAGCAAGTACCCCTACACTGCGTCCCGAGCTTCAAGTGGCTCTATGATGAGTACTTCTTGGCCGCCTGTGGCCTCGGCAGTCGGTGCTCTAGAGGTAGCCGGCCTGACGAATACTCTGTTTTTTCACGCCTTGTTTACTTGGGATTTTTACTAACTTTGCTGTTTATTTCTTTCAGCCGACGCCATGAGTAAAATAACAGCATCTAAGACTGCGGCGGCCATGCTGCGGGTTTCGCTAATGAAGCAGTCGTACGCCGACTCCCCCAGCAAGGAGGCACCCTTGGTAAGCTTTGAAAACTCTTCCCCTTTAAGTTGTATTATGCATATACTAACTCTTTTTGTTTTCAGTCTGGCACTCCAAGGGCTTCTTCCTCGCAACAGCCGGACCCCAAGGCCCGGAGGACGACTGTTGCAAGCTCTCCTGGGTCTTCCAGGAAAACAGTGGCGGCTGAGAAGCAGCCGGCCACTTCTTCAAAAACCCAAGCGGGGCCGCCTAGATGTATGGACCCTTGCTTGTAAAAACTCACTCTTGCTTCCTTCTTGATTAGGTCTAACTTGTTTTTCCTTCTGCTTAATGCAGCCGGCCCCCAGGGACTTGACTTGGTTGAGGTAGCCAAGTCAATGGTTAAAGTAGTTCCTCCCTCTGACAGGGAGGCGGTCAAGGGTGCCGGCACCCTTGACCTCGATGGAATTTCGGGGATCCTAGCTGAGGTATACCCTTTTGAAGTTCCAGGACGCCTGTTAACCCTTATGATTGGAAACTGACGCCTGTTTTTCTTTGTACTTAGGCCCTGCTCCGAGTCAACAGCCTTCGCAAGCCGATTGATCGGAAAAACAAAGAGGTAAAGGCCGCAAAGGCTATGGCCGCCTCCAGCTGTGATAAAGCAATGTTTCAAATTGCCCAAAATGAAGTACTGACCATTGATCTTCTTTATTATCAGGCGCAGGCGACCGCCGCTGTTCGGGCTCAGCTAGAGGCGGCCCAAAAGAAGGTTGACGAGCTGGAGGGGACCGTCACCAAACTTAAAGCCGAGCTGAAGCCCCTTCGTCAGAAAATGCACTCTTACGAAGCCATGGAGAAATCTTTGGCTAACGTAAAAGAACGCCTGGTGAACCAGGAGAAGAGTCTTACCCAAGAGCTCTCGGACAAGGCCGAGCAAGAGAAACAAGAGCTCGTCCGGGAGATGGTGGAAGACTCCGCCCAAATCCAACGCATGACCTGGGAACGACTGTTCCCCAGTGCCGACTTTGCCTCATGGGAAAGAACGTACCGCCAGTGTTCGGAAATATATAATCAACAGATCCTGGCGGCTGCTGAAGAAGAGGCGATGGACGTTGCGTTGGAGGAGGAAGAGGCTGTTGTGGCGCTTGTGCCACTTGGGGGTAAGGCATCAAAAGATGAAGCAGCTAAGGCCGAGTCCAGCAAGAAGAGTGCTGACCAGGCGGCTGCTGCTGATACTGAACTGCCCCCTTCTTAAGCTTTTAAGTATATTTTTTCTTTTCACGGCCTGCGTGCCGTTTGCTTTGTAATTACCCGGCCAGGGGGCCGGGGTTTTGAATATTCTGCTGGTCTTTATGGCCGGCTCATTTTAATCAAATTTTTTGTTTTTGTTCAAATCTGTCTAAGTATTTGAAATTTGCTCACTAGACAGACTGTTGTGTATGGCCGAACGTTAAGACAGGTACAAATAGTAAGTATGCCGCCTATGCCCCTGGACGACTGGTTGTCTGTTTCCAGGATAGATGATCAGTCGGCCATTTAATCAATCGGTATTCGAACTCTTTATTCAATTTGACCAAGTAAATAGAATTACCAAGTAGCCAAGGAATTTAAGTAGGAAAACAAGCGGCGGGTACCGGTTGTTTCCCTTTATTGCCAATGTTGGCCTCTAATTTGTTATTTGTTAACCTAGCAAGAGTATTGGTTGAGAGCCTTTGTTTATTAAAAACAAGTGGACGACTCGTACCTTTTAGGCTCAGTACTAAGTTTGAGTGACTATTAAGTTAACATAGGAGTTACTTAGTCTTCGTCACAATCTTGATTGAGTAGTAAAGGTATCAGGCGGCGTAGGCCGGCTAGACCCCTTGATTTACCAATGTTTGTTGGCTATTTACTCAATAGGTTATCCAGTAGGAATAGGGGTTCGAGTGCCCTTGTTTGTATAAAACAGGCGGACGACTCAAACTTTTTAGGTTCCATACCAAATTTGAAGGAGTGACTATGAGTTAACTTTGGAGTTACTCAGTCGCCGTCACTTTTGTTTGAGAAGTAGAGGTACCAGGCG